CATTATTCTTCTTTCTTTTTCTGAGGCAACTAGATCTGGACTAATAATGATTTGTCTCTTAAGATTTCACTTGTACTAACAATAAATTCTTGGCTTTATTTTTATATAAGATGGGCTGCCCCTTTGCCCATACACAAGATTTTAAGTGTAACACAAAAACTTACCAATGTGCTCAATTCTGTCCCTGATGACTTCACACTGGTGCGGCCAGTAGACTAGGGAAAACTGACCGGCAGGTGACGAGTCATCCAGATTCTGGGGCTCCCGAGGATGGGAGTCCTCTGAGTCAGACAATAACAGAATCTGTTTTGCCCTTGGAAAAAGATGAGCACAAACGGAATCTATAAGAAAGTGAAAGAACCCTCACATCAGCTTCTCTTGCTCTTCTGAGTGGAAACAGGCTGCGGAGATTATCTATGTGAAATTAAGGTAACTAAGCATGGCACAACAAAATTACATCCCAGTGAAATGTAAATGTAATGCTCCATCCTATAAACCACACTGCATTTAAAAGTAGCTTTGAATGAACAGTTGATTCATTAAACCACAAAGCACATCAAGTATTTAATTGCAGCAGGGAAGAGCTTATTTGAGTTCCTATAGAAAATGCTGGCACCTTTTATTACTCCTGCTTTTATTACTAGTGTGTTATGGTAGGGCTTACAGTCTCAATGTCCGAGTAAAAATCTGTGCTGTGTAATGTTATACAAATAACAAACACAGCTTATTCCTACAAAACTTATCACACAGTGTGCATGTGACAATGACATAGTACTGGCTAGCATGACAGGAGAGGCAACAAGCTGATGCTATCATGAATTTTGTAAAGCAACAGACACGTTTGGAGGATGTGGGGGGGTCTTTGCTTGTCAGCAAGGAATGCTTTCAAAGTTATGAGAAGCCACTTGAATGAAAACACGATAGGCAGAGAAAAGGCTTTGAAAAAATCAAGTAGTTGGATGATTGGGACTGCTGGTACTGTGCACTGACCACAACACTGTCCTGAGAAAATTACTTGTCTGTGTCATAGATATTAAAAGATCCCCTTTCAAAGCATACCCTGTCCTTCCTACTGTCTGCTTAGAGCAGGCCAAAAGATAGGAGTTTAGTTTAATGGGAAATTATTTGTATTTGCTTTGGGTCTGAATCAGATAGAAGCACCTGTAAGACTTATTTTATCAGAAAAAAATTCTAATCAGCTTTAGACCTGGTTTCTAGACCTTCTCCTCGCGATAAACGAAATAACATAATAAGAAAAACGCTTCACCTGAAGGATCTGGTAGATGACATCATATACAAAAATTAAATGAATTAAAACC